TGTGTGTGTGTGACTCAAAAGTTAAGGCACTGGCCTGTATTTTCTTAAATGTCATAACGCTGTTAATGAAAACCCATAATGTTAAAAATCCTCAGATTGGTGCAAATTGTTTCTGATTTGGTTTTTATCACACTCCTGTTAGAGACTGTAAATGCAAATACAGACTAACAGAGAAGAAAACACTCCCTGCGCATTCTGCACAATAACAAGATACCCTAGTTTGATTCCCGTCATATGCAAACAACTGCACACATGATGACAGGTTGGCCTAAGCTGAATCCATTTCCAGTTAATGTGGGCCAACCTGTGCACACGTCCTGTTAACAGTAAAAAGGTGCAGAGTGAAACAGGGCTGTAGTTTCCAGGTTTCTCTCATCCAATCAAATTCTCCCTGGTCTTACAATCGCTGATGTCACATCAACAAACTCCCAGAATTAATTTATCTTTGAACAGACTAAAGAAACACGGACTTTTAAAAAAAAGCATAATTTAACAACTTTGCAGCTCAGGGTCAGAATCAAAGAAGCTGCCTACTTTGAAGTTTACATCATTGCTCACCTGTCTGTCTCAGGACCAACTACTAAGCCCAAGTTTCATGTTTAATGCTTTAGGATTTTAATATGAGTATATTAGAATTGGCATATCATATCTGGTCTAAAGTTAGGTACAAACTAGAAGTGATTTACAGTGATGTGGTGTCCTGACCATAGAAAGTATCAGTAAAAAAACAAAAACAAAACCCCAAACCCTGAAAACTTGGTCGGCCTCATTTCACTTCCCGTTGACGGCCTTTATTTCACAACTACAGTCGTTTGCAAGTGACCAGCTGTCAGCTGTAAAGCGATGTGTAAATGCGACTCAGTTGCAGTGCATGTAGCTTAATAAGCATTATATGTAACTAGTGCGTACTAGTAGCAGCAGCTACACCCATGTGAGGCTGAATGGGAAGAGCTGTGTAAACTAGTACAGCACATCAACGTTTTGTGGTGGTTTATATTGTTTTGCTTTTAGAAACCATTCAGGCATGTACTCAGTCAGATACTATCAGATGACACACATTAAACACACAAGAATTAAGTCATTATACACTGACATCGATAATGTCACACTGGGAACAAATCGGTAAATAATTTATTATGCTTACTGTTCCATTTCAGTGCACCACAGGTAGTCTTCCTTGCCATTCATGTCGACGGGCAGCGGTCCCATCTTCCCCTGCCTTATTGAGTTAGACTTTGTTGTGATAGTACGGACTTTGTCAAACTGCAGGGAGAAATGTCAAATTAACAGTGTTGAACACAAAATAATAGTCTCACGATTACACAAAAACTAATATTTTAAATTGTTGACACACTATTAACCTAAAACTATATCCAAACTAAACATGACCAATAAAATAAATAAATAAATAAATGATGTTGACCTTTGCCTGGCGTCCGGATTCCAAACAATCCTGCAGAGTCACCTTGTCGTCTAGAGATGTAGCAAGAGGTCTATAAGAAATCCCAGACAAGAGTGTAAACTTGAGGCCAGTTAGCTTCAGGACTTTTTAGTACCACTCAAAACCAAACAATCAAAACTGAAGAAAAATAAATAAATTAAAAAGACATACAAATTATTTGATTATTGTGGTTCTGTTGAGGTTCTAATTGCACATTAAAATCCTTGCTATGATCTGCAGTGAGTCAACACAAATATTTTAGCCTGTATTGGTACATACCTGTTCATGCCAGGCAGGTTTCCCCAAAAGTAGCGTGCTCTGTGAGCAGGACTGACTTTTATTGCATCGATAAGAATTGGATTACACTGCAATAGAAGGCAGAAAGCATACATTAGGCATTAAAACTTAATGCAGTCTGACCCTCCACCAGGCTGGTAGCAACCTTTACTTAAAGAAACATCACCTCCAGGAATCTGCAGATATCCGATTTGTCATTGGCACTCATGAAAACCACGTTTTCAAACAACCAGAAAAACGGACGGTTGTCGTCCTCTTTCGGCCTCAACAAGGTCAGTATGCGGTAGAACTCGAAAAAGAGTCTTCCAGTACCCTCTGCAGGATCAACAGGGAAACAATTTTATTTAAAAAGATGACAAATAAACCTCTAGTGAGTCTTTATTTAGTTTAGAAGTTGCATACCAAATAATCCTTTTCGAAGAGGGTTCACCATGGACAGGTCGTTACATGGACTGCCTCCAATCAGAAGATCAAAAGGACCCCATTCGGCCAGCTTTAACACACACAAAGAGACACAAACTCACTGAGATAAATTAAACCATCATATACACAGAACTTAAAAATCAGGAAGGAGTTAAAATACATTTTGAGCATTTACGTGTGTGTCTTGCTTGTACTCACATGTTTCCTTGTAATGGTGCGAACGTCATTGACGTATTCAATCTTTCCCTCGTGCTTGACCATCCCTACAGCAATTGAATCGTCACAAATCTCTGAGGCAATGTAGCGCTCGATCTTAAGGCCCAGGTCTTTGAGCACCAGATATCCTGAAATGATGTTAAAGTAAATGAAATCAAGGGAACAATTAGAAATGCACACATTTCGCCAGTTCAACACTTTTCTAGTCTTACAGTATTCAGATGATTCATGTACTTGTGGGAATGTCTAATTGGAGGACTTAACATTTTCCTCTGCTACCTGACAGATTTTCAGCTGGTTTTTAAGCCAAAATAGAGGATAGCTGAGGAGCTGCTCATTTTGTTCAGTTGGATTATCTAAGATCACTCTGGATACAGGTATCAGTCACATTTATGTACGGTAATCGAGGCTATCCAAAAGACCAATGCCTCAGCCCAGAACCTGAAAACAATGACTCTGAAACTAACAAATATTAACGACCAACAGAATGGTGGATGACTACCATTAGCTAATTATTTTCACCTTTGCGCTGACTTTGACGAACTGACATCTAAGGAGTCTTTCACCTCCCAGACAGCACCATTATTGGCTCATTCAGGTCAAACCACTGACCTGATTGGTGGACAACCTACTATATTTTTAATTCATGTTAAATAAACCATCTCCTATTACATTAATACAGATGCCAACTGAACCTTCCAAGGCTCTTCATTAGTATGCACAGACAGAGTGTAATGGGTATTGGCTGAGTTTTCCACACAATGTCATAAACTCACCTGTTGCTATACCATCAAAAAGCGAGAGCACCTTCATTGGCCTGCGCTGATCAGCAGAAATTGAAGGGTAAACTCTGTGAGGCTCCTGTGGTTAAAAAATGAATTCGAGTAACATTTAGAAAAAACGAAATGGCATAAACACACAGATTTAACTTAAATCTTCTTTGATTGGCAGAGCTTAAGAAAAACGAATTTCTCACCGTCAGAGAAAAACAAAATCTGAATATTATCTGACACTGAGGATCTGGAGCTGATCATTAAAAACCCTCAAAGAACAGACTGCTCATTCCAGTAATTAAAGGTGAAAGCAGGTCCATTATTAATAAAACTAAGATGCTTTTAATAAATAATTTCATTAAATATTTGATAATATTTGATAAACTATGCCTACACACAGCCAAAGGCAACTGTCTAACATCAAATAATTGCCCCTCTTCCAGCCCCACTTCATGCATACAGTAATGTCCAAGTAGGCCTACTCAGAAGTAAGAAACTCCACAGGTGAAGATGATTAGGACTTCTTGGTCATGTGTAACATTAATTTTAACCTTCAGCAAAATCCTCCAAGGCGTCGACACATCTGACCGTTAACTACCAGCTTAAAAAACCAAACCTGCAGTCACTCGTTAGCCTGCAATGCCTGGTTCATAATTAGTCACATAAATCAGGATTAAAAGGTCTTAACCTGAGTTTAACCAAAATACACTTTAACAATTTGCATTTCGTTGAATGCGACGGGATGTTAAAATTAAAAATAATAATAATAATAATAAAAAAACAACCCCCACTCCCCCCAAATATCATCATATCATGAAGGCACACACACACACACCACAAGGTCATTTTCATTCAAATGAGTCATCCTCTAATCTGGAACAAAATCTCAGTGCTGTTAAATTAACTGTAATTATAGCACATGTTACCATGCTATAATTACAGTTAATATAAAAATATATATTTAAAAAATGCTACATTGACTAATTTAACATCACCTGACTCTCAAATGAAGAAAAAGATCTCTGTATGTTGGGATAAGATCAGACCGTTTGCTTATGAAAACAGAAACTGCATTTCTAATTAAAGATAAGAGCGGCACGTACAAACTCCATTGCGCTGTTGTTGGCAAAGAAGTCTTGGACCTTCACACTCCAGTCTGCCCTGAGTTTGAGGTTTCCTTCACACTGCAATGGCTTGCATATGTAGCAGCTCCAGGGATCGACATCTTTCAGCTTATCAAAGGTTTCTGGGCCCACCAGGATGTTCAGACAGTCCTTACAGAAACATCTGGGAGACAATAAAAATAAGAACATCAATCTCAGAAAGTTGATTCTGGTTATCTGGATGTAGCGTTTTCAGTGTGAGAAACATTTTGCCACTCATCCAAGTGATAAAGACAGAAGAGAGATTGAAGACGTTTTTAGAGGCTGACGAAACATAAAATGAAACTCAGGGGTTTGTGAACTGATACAAAGACCTTAAGAGAGGTGAGGGGGTAGGACATGAGATAAAGGGAGAGGTTAGTGAATGACACTTTGACGTCCATCTTCTCTCATTTGGTGGACTCACAGGTTTTACTCAATAGTATATACATCCACCATAATAAAAGGCAGTGGACACAACAGACCCGCTGTTGTAAGTTGTTTTTAAAGCACCCCGTTTTTATTTAAAGTCTGTATAGGCGTATTCAGCAGACAAGTGCCACCAAAGACATGTCCAATATCCTCAGTTTCCATGAAAACTAGTTTGTCATACAAAAACATTACTTTTGTAATCCATTCTGATGTTATTGTGCCTTACAAAAGGAAAATAACACAAACTGACATGATGATACTCCTGGATTTAGCGACTTGGCATAAAATGACTAACGAATGACATCAAACTCCTTCTTATAACCACAGAAGTTAAGCCTTAAAATTGATACTTTTACTTCTTTCCCATTATTAAATAATCTAGTGATATCTGTCTATCATAAACAGATATAAGAAACAGAAACTGAAAGCAGGACCTAAAGTGAACTATTCATGATGGAGTTTTAGCTGAATAACTGGGTAAAGTATCATGTGGTCAATTAAAATATAAATGACTGAAATAAGGAGGATTCCCAGGCCAAATGTCCAATTATGGAGATACATTACCTCTCCAGTAGGGGTGGGCGGTATAAACGGTATACGGTAGAAACAATATGGATTTGGCCAACGGTAGAGATTTTGACTATACCATCTTGCTGCGATAGCGCGTGTTGATGATGTCATCAAGCTGCGCCTGTTTTGGTCGAAAGCATGGCAGCGGCTGCAAGCATGGAGCTTACAGGTCGGTCGACGTTGGTCATATGCTCCTTGTTTGGGTTTAAGCAGTCAGATGTTGAACAGAAAAATATCATCTGCAAATTATGCCGGGTGACAGTAATAGCAAAGAGAGGATATACAAGTAATTTGTTTTATCACCTTAAAATGAAGCACGCTTTGGAATATGAGGAAAGCCAAAAACTGTGCCTTCTACAAACGCTCAGTCAGTCAAGTGGAAAGAAAAAAGTGGCCCTACACACCAGCAGACATTGATATTTTCCAAGCCTTTACCAAATGCACTCCATATGAGAAAACAAATCATTGGTGGATATCATTACCGTGTACTTGTGGTGCCCTTTCTTAAAGTGGAGAAAAGCGGCTTTATGATTAAGACACTTGATCCATGTTATGAGGTACCAGGTAAAAAAAACATTTATATATCTATATAGATATATATCTATATATATCTATATAGATATATACCCACCCAGTCTAACCAGATGCCCAAATCCCCTCACAGCTGGATCCATTTGACCAGCAAGAGGAGAAGTTCTGCTCCAAGCTCCCATCAAATAACTGAGCTGCTCACCCTGATGCTGACCATTGCCACCATATACTCTTTCAGTCATTTGGATCTTGTGACCATAGATAAAGGTTTTAATAGACATGGATTCACATCAAAAGCTTTGCCTTTTGGCTCAGCTCTCTTTTTACAATGACAACACAATACAATGTGTGCAATGTTTGTAGTAGGTAAACAGATGTACACAGAGTGGACCACAGGAAACATTAGTGAAGCCAATGTTACAGGTGAGGTGAACTTAGTGACTTTACTGCAAATATTATAAAAGCTTCCCAACGTCTAAATACCTCTCTTCTGATTATAGTTTTCTGATTAAGAAGAAGCAACAAGGGGTTATCCAGTGTGCTTCGGCCTCTGTGAAATTCTTTTTCGTCTCCCCTGCCCTGCAGGAACAATGCCTTTTGTGTATTCTGAGACCACAAAACACATCGGCAGTGTCTCTGTAGCAGGATCAAACAACAAGAACAACATAATTTTGATGAGCAAATGTGAAGTTTTAGTGGTTTAATGATGCCAGGAGGAAGACTTTAAACTACTTGCATGTTTCAAAAGATTATGGAAACTGTAGCCTGATCCAGTCATCTCAAATTTGTCTCATGGAACAGGCCAATAAATGTCAGTTTGTCATGAGCAAGTTCATGAATCCATCATCAAGAGGTTCTCTCAGATATTTCTGTAACAGTCTGATATTAACTGCTGAACTTTGTTTTGCTTATTGAAATGTTTTTACCTAAGCAAAAGTCACATCGAGAAACTATAAATATCAATATGTTTGCACGTGAAAAAGAAAACCTGTGGAGTTTTTACCTGCAGCAGCTGGGATTGCCACACAGAATGACCTCTAAGCCTGCACAGCACACAGTGCAATACGACTGGTAGCCATCGTCATCGTAGCGATACAACGTTTCTGTAAAGTTTGCCTGTAAAAATAAGGTTGTTTTCAGATTTTAATAGAGGACATCCTTCAGATAATGGCCAAATTTCAACACAGCAGGCTGTGGGAGAAACAGAATCTTTGTGTTATTACATTACCTTGCATCTTAGACAAAGACCACCTTTAAATAATGGGTGCTGGACGTCAATATCAGTTGATCCACAAGACAAACAAAAATCTAAAAAAAAATAAATAAATAAATAAAAAAAAAGAGAGAGAGAGAGAGAAGTTAGTTGTGTTTATATCAGTGGTTTGAAATCAAGTGTCTTCCATATTAGCTAAAGAACTTACCTTCAATTGTTTTTCCCTTTTCTTTGACGCCTTCTATTATTGATTCTGTAATGAAATATTCACATGCAATAAATATAATGACGGCAACATAAAATCAGTTGCTTCATTTAGTAGTTTCCTCACAAATATCTCTTTACAAGTACAAAATTAAAAAATAACATTCACCTTTGTTATAGATGATGGCGGGGACATTTCCCTTACTTTTAAAAACATACTTTCTTTTCGCCGGAGGCGGGACGTCAGACAGAGTCGAGTCAGAGGATTGACCGTGTGGAGAAGAGTCTTTAAGAGGCAGAAAACAAAGAACATTAAATAACTTGGATGTTTTTAAGAAGCATCTTTGGCACCAAGAAGAGGGAAGAAGGAAAATAAAATATGGTGCTTTATAAAGAAAGTAAGAAAGAATTAAAAATAAACAGACATACCAACAGGTATAAATCCATCAGGTCCTGTTGGCAGAAATCCTTCAAAAGCCCAGTCCAACATCAGCTTCAGCTCTTTTTCTTCATTGCCTTGAGCATCAGGAAAAGACTTTCCACACCTCTCACCTGCCAACTGCAGATTATACATGTCATCAAAATCTGGAGTATGGTACAAGTACATTAAACAAGGTCCAGCAGCTTGATGCTACAATACATGAAACGGTCACTCTGTTATTTCCATTGTAATAGGCCCTCCTGCTTTTAACCTCATAACATTCACTGACCTGAATATACAGTAAGTAGAGTGAAAACAGCCATCATCTGAAAGTGCATCATCGAATGATTCAAACACTTAACATGAGCTCACAGCAGCGATAATTCCCCACTTTGTACCAAGATTGATTACACAGCACAACTGTTTTTACCGACATCTACAAGGACACATATCTGAGTCCAACAAACACAAGCCTTTAGTGTTTTTGTAATAAAAGGTTGCTCAGTCAGTTTGTTCCTTTTAGCAAATGTTTTGAAATCAAGCCATGGTTTTAACAGACCTACTGAAAGAGTAACTTCAAAAGATAACCATTTATACCTATACTTGACTTGATGTAGTCTTTTCCTAAGAGTCCAGTCACACCAGTTTGGCGACCCAGTGGTCACTTCGTAAAAATCTGCTCTCCATGAGCCGTTGGCAAGCGGCTTCAAAGGGGTGCATGCTGTTGTCAGTACAAAGTGCTGCACCAAACACCAACTTTGATTGGTTTAGTCATTAGCAGGTTGATGCAGTCATTCATAATTATGTGTGGAAGATTTCAACTTGTCTGCAAACACACTCCAACTACTCCCTAAGTGGAAGCAGAACTGTGACGAGTACAAGACAAGCCAGAAATAGTGACATTTCGCTTTCAAAGTAAAAGCTGCGTCTTTTGAAACGTGTTGGTTTCAGAAGGCACAACTTTCACCTTTGCAAGCTTAGTGGTTAATTAACGAGTGCTTAAAGAGAAGTTGGTGTCTTCCATGCAACTACAGGTGACTATGGCCATCTTCTAGTGATCAAAGCAAACACAGTTGTTTTTGGTGCAGCACCCTCTTCCACTTTCAAAAGGTGATAACCGGCAATCACTCACCAAATGGTTAGGGAATAAATAATGTTGAACCCATGGCAACAGGAGGTTGCCAGGTTGCTCTTTCATGGAGCTCATGAGCATCTGATGAACTAAACCTGAAATGTCATATCAGCCTGAGATGGATAATGAAATTAAGATTTGTGAACTATTTCTTGAGGTTTTAAACTTTTTACCATAAGTTATTCACCATTAGAACTACATTAGTTTGGTTTAGCAACACAAACTAATATGTCTGAAGGTTCTCAGTCATCCAGGTCATCGTAGTCTAAGGAGCTTGGAAAGAAAAGGGTCTGAGGCGTTGGCTTGTGACACCAAGTGTCTGCCATCTATAATCCAGTTTTGAGATCCCTTCCTAGACGCCTTAATGCCCACTCACATCCTGGGCCACTTGACCTCAGGAAATCACATCATAGGGTGGGGCAAGGTTTCACAATGAGCTCACCCGATAGCTTGGCTGATTGTGACCTACACCCGTCTTCACACCTTGGCTCGTGTGATAAGGTAGAGGATCATTAGGGGGTCCATTGTCCCTCTTGGGTGGACACTCCCACAGGGCGTAAATCTGGGACTCTCCACCATTTGACCCTAGAACTGAAGAAGCTTCTCGGATGAGAGGTGAAACGTCTTCAAGCAACTTAAAGAAGTCCACATGCTTTTCTTTCCAAGCTCCTTAGACAAACTAATTTGAATATAATATGAAGATAAATGGAAAATGAAAGACAACACAAAACATAAAGTAGTATAAAACATTTAAGACTACCTCAAGGATTTGGTAGATTGCTTTCTTGTATATGGGCAAGCTGGCAAAGGAGTTTTTGCAGAAGCACCTAGTGAAGGCAGCAAATGGCGCAAGACCCTCAGTGTATACCTGCAACAGAAAGAAAATCAGATATAAACAAAATCTGAGAATTGTTTCTACATCATGAGCAAATAATGCTCAGCTTACAGTTGTGCAATTCTAACCTCTGAGAACATCCCGTCTCCAAACCACTCCACCCTCCGCATACCCACAGGAGCACACTTGGTTTTCCATGGCACCACCATCCCAGGCCACCAGTTAAACCCCTTAACCTTACCCCACACCAGCGCTCCTGTAAGAAACCCTTTACCATCCTGCAGCAAAAATACAAAAACAAAAGCAGATTATTCACATTTTCTTATAAACAGACACTTTATATGATTCAACAGTCAATGCCTCTGTATGCATCTGTTGTTGGGTTTTTTGTGTTTCTTTGAAATAAAGCAGCAGTAACATTACCTGGTAAGCTGGTTTACGTCGTGCTCTGGTTGGTGTGTGTTTATTGGGCGTTGAAGAGTCTTCCGACTGGAAGTCAACCACATTTAGGTAAAAAGAGAAGTCAAAGTAGTAAAAGGTAATGTATATTTTTAGAGGATGAACAGCGTCTTTCTTTAAAAGAAAAACAAAGGTTGTGACTGTAATCATACTAGAATTGCATTTGTGGTACAATGTGTTAAAATGAAGGTATGGACCAATCCATTAAGATTCATTCATTCGTTTTGTTTCATGCGTCATAATATACTCTAATATGATTAATTAAATTGAGAGTCTTTTACTGTAATTTGAATTTCAATATTATGGAAGGTTTAATAACTGGACAACTTCATTCTCCCCTTTACCTTTTCTCTAATCTGACCTGAGGTGAACAAAGCGAATGATGAAACTGAATGAAATGAAGTTAGATGTGGGACTAGATTCTAATCAGTTTTTCCTCTCAACAATTTCTCTCCCTCAACTTTGTTAGTGCTGTGTTTAGTACTCCAAATCACAGATTTGTTTTCCTTTTTCAAATTAAGAGTCCTCTCCAAAATTAGCTGCTACTGACTGACTGACTGACTGACATCTAGTTTCACTGTCAGTTATCAGGAACTGCTGGTGTTCCTTTGTGCTGAAGTTAGTCATAATGGACTTCTGTGCTTTCAAACGTTTCTTTGTCTTCCTCTTCTGCTCTGACACTGCTAAATCTCTCAGTCTATGTGAACTTTACTTTACCAAAGGAAAAGTAAGACTTTTAACAACCTTTGTAATTTAGGATTTCAAAGAATTGTATGAGATATGAGTGACAAAATCAAACTTATCAAAAATGTTATAAAATGATACATTTTTACATTTAACTGAAAATATGTGGAAAATATGCAACTGTTGGGCAAAGAAAAAGAAGCAGAAGAGGCTAAAAGCATGTTTAGTGGAGAGATCATGTTAGTGAGGGCAGCTGAAATGGTTTGGACACATGCAGAGGAGGGATAGTGGATATGTTGGACAAAGGATGTTGAAGCTGGAGCTGCCAGGCAGAAGGAAAAGAGCAAGATGACAGACAAAGCTAGGGATAAAGTCAGATGGAAGCAGATGATCTGTGGTGACTCCTAAAAGGAGCAGCTGAAAAAAGAAGAAAATTATATCTTCATGCTGAAGGTGGAAAATGAATTTCCAAGTGCCCCACCGTAATCTCACAATCAGCCGTGTCCGCACAGAAGTAATAAAAGCTGCATTTACACAGCTCTACTTCTGCCCCCACTATGCACCAGAACAGTTGAAGCAGCCAGGCCTAACTTTTCTGGCCAAAATCCCCTAACAATAACATGCATACTGAATTCCTATCTATGTCTTTGAATTAAGCAATTTGAACAAAGTCAGGAACATGAGACCAATCATGGGCGTGTATCAGTATAAGCAAGATAAGGAGGTCCATAACAGGTTAAATCTAAAAAAAGACATCTAGTTAGCTGGCACTAATAAGAAAAGGGATCCATTTTCTAGAATATCGGGAGTGGTTTTCCCATAAAGGATCTCATACTCTTTGTTTACATTCATCCTGTAATTTATTGCCATCTTTTGGCTATTGTTTCTGGATGGAAGCTACCATGAATTTGTTGTTTCTGTAATTTTGGTGGTCATGTCCCGTTTCCTGTTGTCAAAGGCCCAATCTTAGAAAGCTGAAAGTGGAAAGCAGCATTTTTTGCAAGTTCTGACATGCAGAGCGTAGGTAAACTTTTACAGCGGACCAATGGGAGACAAGTGTGCTAGTCATACTGCCACCGGCTCAGCTTCCCCTGCTCTGTCAATAGTAACACCGCATGTATCTAACGCACAGATCTCTAAGGTAATTAAGCATCTACAAGACACCAGCAGAAATCGAACAAGCAAAATTAACTTAAGGATGCAGTTTGAAGCAGATTTGTATCATTCCTTCAGCACATTAACAAGGAAAACGCTCACATTTCAGATTAGAAGACGATCAACTCCTTGTTCAAGCGGGAACATTTTTTATTCAATATTATCAATATTCAGATAATTTCGTTCTTACTCAAGTAGATATTTTTGTCAACTAATGTCTGATGTTTTATTACTTTTGAAATTTTAAAATCAGGAAGCTCAAAGTTTGTTTGTTTTTTTTTTGGTTCACTTTTAAATTCTAGCATTTTATGGCCCAGTGGTATTTTGGTAGTATACTCGAGTACACCTACCACATCATCTTGGGACCCCAGTTCATTTTTGCTGTCCTTATCAAGACCTACGGGTTTGGACCAGGTGTTATCACCAGCCTGAAACACTGTACGGGTCTTTGGCTTCTGGCGCAAGCTGCTCTCCCAGCCAAAATTTCCCCTAATGGTCCCCTGAGAGACAGCACACTCATTACACACAAAAAACATGCACATGCAAATGTTAACCAAAACACACGCACATACACGCCCTCATATAGGCAAACTCCACTTCATCTTCCTCATTTTGGAAACTATGAAGGGCAACAGGGTGTTAGTACATGACAGGGACTTAAGAGAGAAATGCAAAAATAAAACGTTCACCTATTACGTCACATTTTAAACTTCACATAATTTACCATTCAAAGGCTGAATAGCCACATCATCTGCCCATAAGTCTAAAATGTTTTAGAGCAGTAGATCAGAAAGCAGAGGATTAACAGAGAGAAAAAAAAAATCTTTTACCTCTTTCCATAAGGCACCATTCACTCCAAGTTTATTTTCATATCCATCACCTGGCTCTTTGGAAACAGTATTATATTATTGGTTTTTTTTAGTGCACTGCATGATCTTTCAATCTACAAAATAAACAACATGATATTTTGCATGTTTGCAGCACATCAGGCAGATAGAACTGTAAAGTTTTTTTCTCTTTACCTATTTTTGTAAGGCGGACTTCACATGGTTTCACTTTCAAAGGAAGGCCATTCTGACCTAGAACATGAATGCGCAGAGTTAAATATGCAATCACTCCCACTCAACTTCTTTTACATTTAAATCAGATAATCTCAAAGCTGCAGAGGGAAAAAAATTACATCAAAACTTTAGTGTTGTTGATGTTGTTTGATTGTTTCAACTATTAGTGAGGCACCGTGTCTGGACACCAGCTGTATTTGTAAATGCTAGAAAGGTCCAGCCTGCTTTGATACCAGATCAGAAGAGCTCAAAATAAAGGGAAATGCTCATTTGTTTTTTCCTTATAATACATCTCCACCCAGCTCCCTGGAGACCATATCAGAAATATGTTGTAAAACCGGTTTGTGGGTTACTCTTGTTTGTTCTTTGTATGTCCACCAGTCTACCAGAGAGAACAGGGAAGTTAAACGTACGAAGAACTGAAGTGAAACCAAGTGTGGGAAAAAAGTATCCACTGCAGGCACTCTTCATACTTTCCACACTGTATGTTTTGATGTATTTTAAGACCTCTTCCATTCCTGCTAAACTCCACAACTTAAGCAAATGATTATGATCATCTCATGCATGAAAGGTTATCGTTTAAAACTCAAATTAGGTGGAAATTTAACATGCTCTTCTTACCTCGTGTGCGAACTTGATAGTTCTTGCTGCTGTCAGAGAAAGTGTCAGACGTAACATCCAACTCACTTTCTGTTAAGGCTTCACTGTCAGAGACTCCACAAACATGATCATTCTCCAAGGCCTTAAAAATAACATAAGACAGGACCAAGTGGAAAAAATGAAAAGGAAAAAAGAGTAAATTTTGCACCTTTATTATTCCAGTGTGACATTGTTATGCTGGCATAATAAAGGTTTTGTTTATAGGCCCTTTTAACCCAGGTATTTCCCTCCTAATTCTTAACTTTTATTTATTTTAATGCTGTCAGCGTTAATCTAGTTAAAATGATGTTATCAGCTGTCAACGCATCGCGCTAACACGTTGATGCCGCCCAGCCCCGCCCAGCCCCACCCACGAGGCGATCCGCAGTAACTCGTTAACAGAGATTTGCTGTGTTACTGCAGTTACGGCGTTAATGTCATTTTAACAAGATTAACGCTTACAGCACTAATTTATTTCTCTTCAATTTATCACTTTATCTTTTCCACCGCTATGTTTTTCAGTTCCTTCTGGGCTATCCAGAATCATTCCTGAGCCACACAAGCTATAATCTCTCCTCAGAATTCTGGCTCTACCCTGGGATCTCCTCCCAGTTTGTCTGGAAACCTCCAAATGGAGGCTTCCTCCTGATCAGATGCATGGCTGAGTCCTTTTGTTTCAAAGGAGCAGTGATTCTACTCCTCTGAATCAAACCTTTGAATCTAGTTTGATTTGATACTGTTTTAATTCTTGGGGATTTTACCCTTTCAACAGTTTTTTTTTTTAGTCAAAGGCCCCACTCATGAATGTGGCCACAAATTGGACTGACGTTTTATTGTTTCATTTGCATCTCTGTGATATTCAAATTTATGCTCTAAACTCTTCTCACCATATGCCTTTCAAAATTGAAACTTCTGCACCCAGAGAACCTGTCAAACCTCTTTGCCTGCATGTAGATCCCGCATGATTATTTCTGCTACGGCTGGACATTTTTATTGCGTATCAGAACACTAATCTTGCCCTGTCTTTGGACAGGTATCTCCCTCAGTTGCCTTCTGTTCATCTGTTTACTTTCCTACTCTACTTGAGTAAATATCCTGTCACTCAGGCTACTGGAAGGATTTGTAGCAGAGCTGATAGGAAATTAAGATTTCCTTTGATATGTTAAAGGAAGCTCTAACAAAAAGATCAGACTTGATTAAATATCATCTCTAACAACTGCCATACACCCCATGTTTGATTTAACACCAGTAATACAATTATCAATCCCTCACCCACTAATTCCAGAGAGTCCAGCTATATGTAATATTTTCTACTCTGATTTCTGGTCAGTGTTTGCTGTTTTTAAATGTACCTATAAATAGTTTGAGGTGAAACTCATTTCAGCCATTTCTATTTGCTACTTTATTCTGTCACAACCCAGAGCTTATAATCACAGGCCAGCTCTACCTTCACCACAACAACAGGTACAACACCCGCATTACTGCAGCGGTGCACAGGTAAAGTGGGTGCAGCACCAGTGTGCCATTCAGTCGCTTTCACATCACTGTAAACAGGATCTTGAGATATTCAAAATCATCGCTTGAGACACCAACTCTTACCCTAAACCCACAGGAAGCAATCCACCATTTTTTCTTAATCACATATACTGTTTCAACTGATTAATGTTAACTTGTTGTGCAGAACTTCGTTAACATTTGTTGTGTGTAAACGTCTATATGAACAAACTTAACTGACTAAACATTCACATACCTGAGTAAAAACCTGCTGCGCATCCAGCGGAGGACATGGGAAAGACAAAAGGATCAAAAGAAGCTTCCTGAAGATTGAGGCTGGCTTGGTGTCATTCAGTATGTTTTCCAATGAAACCACAGCTGCGCTGTCCTTCCCTCCATCCTCGGCCTCTCCCTCCTGAGCCTTCTGATACTCAAGGAATTCATTCGTGAGCTGTTTGACTTCCTCAGGGAAGTTGCAGATTCCCAGCTTGGTGCCCAGCTCCCCGACTGTTTCCTCTGTCACTTTCAGCCTGCTCTGTGAGTTCAGCAGCTGAGCGATGCCCTTCAGCACTGAGTCTTTTAAAGGCAGCTCCTCTGCGATACAACCAGTGAGTGCAATATAAAATGATAATACGTCCTCCTGTAATAGTGGCAGTGCCTCAGCAGCTTCAGATGTTTTCAGAAAGTCTTCCACAGTTTTTTTACCCACACAGAGTTCGGAGCTTGGCAGGTGGAAGTTCTTGTTCTTAAGAATTTGGACATCACGTTCAATGAGGAAACGATCAGCGGCCTGTGGACTGAGGAAGTAGGAGGTGTAAATGGAAATCAGACTATTGGCTTCTTCTAGAATAAGCTCAATATTAGTACCAGAAGCTTCCTGTGTTTTCCTTTGAAAACTGTGCAGAGGCTCTAAGGCCTGCTGCAGGAACATAAACATTGCCTTAACTTTGGGATCATTAAGCTGAGAACAGATGGACTTAGTCTTCTCATCTTCATTGCAAGAACTAAAGTACAGTGTGAGATCGGTCCACATTTCCAATATTTTTGTGACCAACAGACAAACTCTAAAGCAGCTAGTGTTGGTGTGAAGTGATGCGCTGTCATTGCTGACATCTGAGTCAAAAAGATCTTTGAGGTTTTCATTCTTTGTAGAGCAGGCAGAGTAGTGTTCATGGAGGTCTACCATCAGTTCTTGAGCCTGATTGGAGAGCTCCTTGATGGCAGCACGACAAGCAGCATCAGCGATGGTGTACAGGCCTCCTAAGGTTACGACGTTTGCGTTGAGTTCCCTGAGTTTAGAACAGATTTCCTCTGTGGCTGAACCATTGCCAGTTAGATAAACGGCAGCGAGATTATCTGTGGATAGCCCAAATTTCTTCAAGCTATCCACAACTGCCGCTGCAGACTGATCTCCTGCACCGTCCCCTGCCTGAAGAGCATCCAGAAATCTGATGCAGCGACTAGAGGCTTCAACGTCAAAAAACCCAACAAGCAACACAGAGACTGCTTCGTCTTTTCCTACCGGTACCCCTCCATAAATGTATAAACAGTAAGGAGTGTTTTCGCAGGCAGATATGATATCTTTGGGGTACTGTGATCCCAGCTTACAGCGCGCAAAATGTCTATATCCCTGCTGACCTTTAGCAGATCCAGTGTAACAGTGATTGTAAATAAACTGGACAGCTTCATCACTGCAAGGCAGCGACTCAGTGACCTGTGTTCTTGCACCACATCTTTTCTTCGCAGCCCTTTTCCTGTGTTTGGTTGTTTCCACGTGGCGCTTAAGTTCAAAAAAGCCTTTGTTAATAGTGCTAAGGTCAGTACCACAGGAGGAACAGTAAGTATAGTTGTCTCCGCGAGAACTGCGCTCAGCCCAAGCAAACACATCTTTCCACTTCTCACTGTAAGGAAACCTTTTAGTCGTTTTGCTGTTTTCCTCCGTGTCAGACTCTTTAGATCTCTCTGATAAAACAGAGAAAGAAAGAAAAACATCACAGCAGATGTCCTATAACTGTGGTCCTCAAAACACATTACAGAGACTTATTCCTTTACCAAAGTGAAAGAAAATCTTGCATGACAATTACCTGATTTAGGAGACACCAAAATAGGGCTGATATCACAGCTGTCACGAGCTTTCACAGCGTCATAATCATTACTTTTCACATTTTCTGCATAGAAGCTCTTGAACCACTTGAGGAACTTAATGTTGCTGTTAAAATCCCCTTGTATGAGCTTCTCAACTGGAATTTTCTGTATCAGGACAAAGAAGACAAAATAACATTTATAAACACTATATTGTAAAACTCATTACTGAATAAAGTTTTCTTCAAAAGATGGATATCCACTGTTATACTTACAAGGAATTGTACATTACTTTCATAGCTAGTAATTATTATTATTAAAACTATTGATGTTTGTGGCACAAGCATGAATAAATTAACAGTTTTAAAAAATATTTTATGTTACAGATATAACATGCTAAGCATTTAGTAAATGTGTATCTTGACATTTTTGGAAAGCTAGACCAATATTCAATTCAATATTTGTAAGCAGAGTGCAAAGAAATTTAGGTAAGAAAGTAGTGATGACTCGCTGATTTGTAGACACAGTGCAAAGACATTAATAGGTAATGACAATGAGAAATTAATAACAAAATGTATTTAAAAAAAATGCATGAGCTAAGACACTTTAAAGCTATTCTAGTAGAGAACTAATGCATACCTACCTTTGTGATACCATTTGTGCTAAAGGCCTCATGGAGTAGTCTGAAATTGTGCTTACAGTCGTCCTCACTTTGTGCATCAAACTTCACCTTGCTCATGTCAATAGATCCAGGAAAAACACAGTCCATCATCTGACAGTGGCACGCACCTATCAGATCACACACATAGACAAGTTATGTTAACTGAGGAAGAATCATTGTTGTTTTTTTTTTAAAAAAAAAACTACATGGTCCACACCAGTTATTCTAACAGAAACAGGCTATTTTTATTTAATGAACAACACTTTATCATCAGCATCTCAGTAACCAATACATGTACACTGTGTTCTCTGGAGTTGCTTCAAAATATGACATAAGCAGTTTAACTTAAGAGACACTTTAAGGCCAGTAAAAGCTTGGGTTGACAGGGTTACAAAGCTGTTCAGTCTCTCATTTGCACTTAGACTTAATCTAAAGTCTAAGATTAATGTTGCAACCCAGTATCGCGGCAAAATGCGTAAGAGTCATGCCAGTCCATTATTAACACACTTACACATAAATACATACAAGCTGCCGAGCTTATTTGTTTCCAGTGATTGGAATGTACTTAACACATTTTTTGCTCATTACCGACTTTGAGGCTTTTCTCTCCACCTGCTGGTAACGCAATTTCTGCATGCAGTAATGGAACTTCTGCATGCACGTCTATTTCACGTTTTTTGGAAAGGCAAAGTGTGGAATGGACACGGTAAAACAGCACATCTATTACATTTTGCTGTGATATTGTGTTGAATGTTATTAAAGTGGGCTAAGCCAAATGCATAGAAATACATTGGACTATTCATACTGGTGAATCACCTGAACCCATCTCCTCCACATTTTTGAAGTTTGTTTTCAGGAGACTGTTGATCCATTTCAAATAAAAACATTTATCAGTTGAGGAGTCTGAGGTCCTGACCACTGTGCTCTCCATCTTGCAGCTCTCTAGAAAAACAAAACAAAAAACACAGAATACATTTGGATAAAGCCAGAGAGAATATTAACACACAAAGATTAGCACGCCTAAACTAAAACTGTTATAGTATTTCATGGCTATAATACTTATATTCTTTCTATATACACATTTACCATATACCATAAGTAAAACCAGAGACGTAATAAGACAGAGACATGGAACACAAAGAATCTCGAGCTTAAAGCTACAGGAGAGTTTAGCAGAAGTATTCCTTCCAGAGAATAAGATTTCTTAAAAACAACAACAACAACATATTAATAGGCACAATGTGATACAGATGTGTCTTTTTAATCTTCTGACTTTCTGTTGATTCTAAAAGTACAATATTTATTTTAAATTTCCATTGCTTTATGAGATATTTTGCTTCATTATTTCATAACTATATTACTTTATAATTATTTAAATGTATTCTTTGACTTCGTGTTTATTTTACCTTCAATTTTTAAAATATATGTATTGTCAGACTGCACTTTATCCTACTTAAGCTATTTTGTTAGAGGCTGTTTGCCTCAATTCCGGGAAGCTGTAACAGGATCTTTTGGATTACAATACATTTTAAAAAGATCATCATGTGACTGCAGAAAACTTTCTACAGTTGTTTCTTCTCTGCTCAGATACTTGTTGCCATTTTTGTTTGTTTACTTGATCTTTGGTTGTTTAAAGCAGTTTTATTACCTCTAAAGACCAGTCGTTAAAAAAAGTAGAAGTTACTTTTTCCTACACCTCTTTAGGGCTACCGGATAACTTAGCCGCTAGCTAAATTAGCAAGTTAGCCGTTAGTGGGGGTAGCCGCAGCGACAGAAGCCGCACAAATGTTTCGTGAATGCTTTGCTTCTCGCCATGTTTTTGTCGGTAGGACGTCTGGATTGTAGAGACGTGTCTGTTGGAGCACACTGTTAAGTCAATCTTAAACCTATCCGAAAATGCAGTCATTTCATTTAATCTGACTGCAGCTGAACATGCTGAACATGTCGGCTCACTTTCCCCTCAAAGTCCGACCCTCCACTTTCAACAAGGCGAAAGTCTGAATGACCCGGTCATAACAAGAGACACGGCGCACAATATTTAATATTCATGTAAAAAAGACTGCGCATGCTTTGACAGCAGTAGGTATGCACAGTAACATTTTATACAACTGACTCGTTTTACCTACAATACAATCAACACACAACACGGAGCCAGCGTGCAACAACGTCATCTACACACAAGGGTGAGAGGGTGACGGTGCCACACGCGCAATAACGTGCCAAGGTGGCTTTCAATTATTGCTAAAAAGTGATAACCTACTCCCACTGTGACGGACCGCTGACGCTAATGAGCTTAAGACTTTTGGGAAAAACAAAAACAAAAACTAGGGGCACTTAACACATCATGAGAGCAGACGTGTTATGAACGAAACCTAACCTCAACTAAAATTAACGAACAACGCATATGTGTTGAGCCCAAGATAGTGGTTTTACAACTTGAGCACACAGGACAATGATCTTGTGATCATCCTCCAATCTACTACTGGAAATCGGAAATCGCAATGCATTTTGGGATGTCGCCCGCCGCCGTGATGTTGTTCACGCAAAACCAAAACAAAGGTAACAGATTATGAAGACTTTGGTTTTTCAGTTATGTAAATCAGTTTACATTTTTATTTCATAATTTCATAACATAACACTGCATACACATTTATAAAGCGTAAAGTTGTACACAGTATTTAATATTTATTTAATATACGTGCATGCTCTACCAGGTAGTTGTACTTAATTACACAGTGAATCTTAAAAAATAAAAGCGATTCAGACATTAAGTAGTTTTGATGCCATATTGTTTTACTATGACACTTCATTGTCTGGTGCATAAGTAGTTTCTTTGTTGAATAATGGACTGCATTGGTGACATCATGAGCCCAAGATCATGCTAGGTTCTAGTTAAATTGGAAGCCTGATGTCGGAACACTGGAGCGAAAGCACTCCGCTAGATGTCAATAGATTGCAAAATGCAGTCAACATTTCTCTTTTCTTACCCTTCCAAATTAAAGTGCATAATCCTAGCTACAGTGGCTGGTGTAGGACAAGAGATTTTTTTAAAAAAAAAAAAAAAAAAAAAAAGATTTTAGACTGTATCTATGCCCATCTTGTTTCTACTAAAGTATGGACAATGTTGGGTGAAAGGTCTCCACTCTTTTTTACTCAATAGGAGGCTATAAAACTTGGTGAAAGGAATCTGACACAGGTCAGTGAGTCAGAAGCTCACTAGTGACCAATGACAGTGATACTGACATGAGATGTTGAAGATTTGCTGAAATGATGGTAAACGCTGCTTTTTGTGCTGTCATTAGCTGCTGTTAGTCAGTGTTAGTTAAGCTATTTTTGAAGTGGATCTAACATTACAGGACTCTAACACTAATTAAAAAATAAACTTCATGCGATATGAGCATGTAATGAAACATTAACTACCATAATGTTAGCTTATAACCATCTGTTTTTTAGCAGGATTTGTCAGCCATCCAAAGACGGTACAGACACATTCTGATTACCTCATAAAAAGTAGTTGTGACAATATCAATAATAAATGAGCATGTTTTTGTGTGTTGAGCAGTGACTTCAGTTAAGAAGGTGAGGTTTAAGGTGAGGAGGAAGACAATGAGACTTTCTAAGGAGATCCCATCTCCAATGAAAAACATAGGTATGCTCTTTCCATTACCTTGAGTCTGATGGTGCAACAAAAATGTTAATAACCCTCCATGACATAGGAACAGCTACGACTTCTCTTTGCCTTTGATATACTAAATATGTGGCCAGTCTCTGGCCCTTTTTCAAATTAATAACCGTAAGAAATTACTGCTTGCCCCTTTAAATCCATCGCTGATCTTAACTCACACGCCGCAGCTTAGTTTTACCTGAAACTATCGTACCATAATAAAAATTCCTGGAAAGTTATACACACCCCTTGTTTAATATCTAAATTTAATATCTAAACAAGTGCAGAACCTAGTAACACCTTTGTTGTTTTAATTCACTGCTTTTTAATGCATTTATAAAAATGCAACAAAGCACTACAAAGAGAACAACAGCCTATTTTCTTTATCATCGATTCTTTGTAGTATATACTTTGTAATATATTATTTGGAACACTGTTTTTGTTTGTATTTGTACATCATGTATCCTTTTCAGCTAAATTATTTATATACTACTAACATATGGTCTGTGCAGTGATCTCAGGTTTGTTCTTCTTAAAAAAGAAAACTTTCATCATGTCATGTTAGTGCCATAGCTGGTGTTGAACCCTTGATGACAGACAGGGAAGGAGGGGGCAGTGAGTGAGACCAAGCTACTTGATTAGCTGACTAATCTTCTATTGTCTGTCTGTCTGTCTGTGGAAGATAGAATCTGAGGCTTTCCTCACATTTACATTTAATTGTTTTCATCTTGTCGTGTGTACATTCAAACGGTAAACGATGTACAAGCTGAGTGCTGCTGGACATTTGAGCCATGTTGCTGCTGATGCTCCCCCACCCCTCCTTTTATTCAATGTATAGAAGTCTCGCGTTGTTGTCCATTTTTTTTCCCGCGAACGACCCAATGCAGAAAACTTTCAGTCTGAGAAACTTGAGCTTTAACGTGTAATCCTCTTACTTTCGCTTTATGCACTCGGAAAGCAAATATAGTCGTGTTGTGACTAACAGGCAGACCGGCTTTCGGTTCAGTAGTCTGGATTTGTTTTCTAACATTTTGGCAAAGCATGCACCGTACTGCACCTAAAGCCTGGCTCATTGTTTTGTTATATTGTAGCAAATGGTTAGGAAATAACTTACAATCACACACAGGTGTAAGGAAAATGCAATTACAACCGAGTGTGACTACATTAACCGGAATTAAGAAAATCTAATCGGAGGAAATTTGAGCTCTGATAGGAAGTCAAAAACCTCCAAGCTGGTGTTTCCTTGGGATGGTTCAAGCCGGTCTTTGTGTTATGAGGAGCCAGAGTGCTGGATTTCCCAAAACCGAGACAATAAAGACACTAAGAGCCCTAACCTCTTTGTTCGGTAAGGTCCGAAAAGAACAGAAACGGCGTGTTTTTGTATAAATTAAACAAATTACGGGTAACTTACCTCCACCGTTCCCAGTAAGCACAGACTCACAGCGCTTTCTTCAGCATATTCTCCACATGTAGACCTGCCCTGTTGGTCGTCCATTGGCCAGCCACAGGGAGGCAGTCCCGGCTAGACCCTATCAACGGGTCTGGATAGTCTTTTTCGACTTTAACGTCAATACTAGCGCCTAGCACAGGCCGAGCAAAGCGCGGAGGATTATAATTGTTCGAAATTGGACGCCATAGCACTACTTAGCGAACTCCGCCCTGTGCGCTAAAATAACTATCCCCACTTAAAGTTAAACTTAAATAAAAATAAAACTTAGACCTAGCCTTCCCCACAGGAAAATAAAGTACGATTTAAAAAAAACAGAATGCTGGTCTCTTCGATCTCCTTTGTTGCTTCGTCAAATTAAGGCTCGCTAGCTATACCCGATGGCCAGTGTAACCAAACATACTGTAGCCGGCATTCAGGCCAACATCACTGAACCCTACCTACTTAAAAGTAGCACAATTTTCATATAACTCTAGGTCAATTTAGGAATAACCGTCCTCAAGGTCAAAATCCAACGAGCTGTCCGAAAAAGCCGATGTGACCGACAAAATGAGTATGCTAGCAAACATCAACGATTAAGTTTTCATTATGTTTATTTATAACTGTAGTGACAGTGGAAATGTTGTAAACTATTACACGTACCTATTTGACGACGTGTTCTCTTTAAAAATAAATAACTAACAACTGTAACAGAGGTTTAAAAAAAATATCTGAAACATAACATTAAATTTGGGATAAAGGTGCTTTCTGCTACATTGCCGGTAGAGCTAGCTCGACAGCGAGTTGGTTCGAATCTAATATGACTGTTAAACATAAAGCAATGGCGGATGTTTAATCGCGGTTTGCCTATCCTGTCTCTTTTCACCGTGTTGAATGACGGCGTAATGGCGGCCCAGCAAGTGGAAGAGCATAAGCGCTGCGAGATGTGGTTAAGCCATTTTTTTTTAAATCAAGTACCAAATATATATTTTTAACCTGAACAACCCAGGGGGGGAAGCCGAAGACGCATTTTAACCCCCCGACATACTAATAAACCCACCATAATGGCACAGGCGCTTCATTTCTGCACTCACAAAGGAAGGAACATTAAATATGGCTCTGCTTGGCTCACCTCACCTCCGCAGTGAGAATGTGACAATCAGCCATAAGACACGCTGTACGTGAGTTCTGCAAGTATCTACCTGTACAAAGCAGTCTAACATCACCAGGCGTATGTGTTTGACAGCTATAGAAGACTTAAAATGCCTTCCGCTAACAACATGTGTGGCCATTTTGTTTCTTCCCGGTGGCAGATGTGAAGTCATTACACCATCTCTGCTAGTCCTAATTACCAGTTTGATGTATATACGCCAAAAACAAAAATGGTAGTGGCCGTTTTGTTTCATCCCCATCAAGTCATATTTGCGTTAATGGGACAGAGCTAAAAAGCATCATTAATGAAAAATAAATATACTTATTTACACAGTATGACTATTGTGCATGCTCTCAACTCTACACCAGTGGTTCCCAAACCCTTCATGTGTGCAAACACCACACAAAAAAGTTTAGGGAATAGCTCAGTTTAGTTGTTGATCTTTCTAACACTCTTTAAATCCATACTTCCATAGTATCCAGAGATTGGGCCATTTTCTACATGGTTGTAGCTGAACTGATGTAGTTCCTATTCTGGGTCTGACATGGCAGCCCAAACAAAGAATGCGAACTCTGGTCTTAGCCAGTGAGGCTGGAAGTCAAGACAGACAGTACTTACAGTACTGTGCAGAAGTTTTGAGCTACCATCAATAGATGTCAAATGTTATGAAATTCCAGGCAAAAGGGACCCAAATGCAAGACAACAAAATTAACAAACCTTTATTCAGGCTGATTAGACAGTCCAGAAATTAAAAATGCAACTAACTACAACATATCATAAACAATCAGGGAACAACAGCACATAAAACTGCTTATAATTCAAACATGTTGAGGTCTAATGAGAGGAGTGGAAACACCTGGAAACAGGTGGAAACCTTCGAGACAGGGGCCGTAAAGGACTATCAAAGTAAAACAAGAAATGAACACAACAGAAACACCTAAAACACAGAGATCGCCACTAGACAATGTGGAAAAAAAATACAAGGGGACACTAGGAAGATAGGAGTCAACTGAAACAGAGGGAATAGAATATAAATTCCAAGAAGGACTCAGAGAGGGCAGTCTTCTGCTAAGGGAGCCCACTCTAGGCAATATTTACTTGAATGTGCATGACCATACAACTAGACAACTAATTGTCACTATAGACGGTAACAGATTTCGCTTAATCTGATTGTTTTACATTTTAATTGATATCCAATGCCACTAAGTTGTTGTGTCCTAAATCCTATGCAGCTAACCGCCACCAGATCGACCATCTATGTTGAGAAACACCATAAATCTGTTAATTTATATATAATGTTAACACTATTATAATTAGTTCTTTTAAAGATCGTGGATACAAGTTGTGAAAATTAACTTTCTCTGAGGGTGGATGGGCTTTCCCATTGGGTGAAAAGTTGAGTCATTTTGGAAGGGGCTCAGAGTTGAGCCGCTGCTCTTCCACATCGAAAGGAGCCAGCTGATGTGGCTGGGGATGGTGTTCCGGCTGGGCACATCCCAGAAGGAGGACCCACGATAGACCAAGACAAGATGGAAAGATGCTATCTCTCAACTGGCCTGGGTACACCTTGATGTATCCCAGGATATGCTGGAAGGAATGTGCTGAGAGGGAAGTCTGGACTTCCCTGCTTAGGCTGCTGCCCCTGTGACCCAACTTCAGATAAACGGAAGAAAAGGCTAGATGATGCGTAATTTTTTAACTGAACTTTTATTGAAGTGGTTCGAACAGTGTGCAGCATTCGTAATGCATGGCACAATGTGCCACTCTTCAGTTGTAGTTTTAGTTTAGTTTTTCTAATTTGTCATATTTAATAATATGTGAACATCTTTTCTAGTAGCATATTTTAATATCATATATAACATTGGTTTATTTTAATTGTTTTCCTTCTTTATTGTCTGTTTGGATTATAACATGCAACATTAACAATGCATGGTGCGTATTATAGGCAACATGATCAGTTTTTGACATCAATATGGTTCTTAAGTAAAACTTGATATCTGAGTGTTTCATAGTTTTAGACTAGTCGGTAAGTCTAATTTTTTTTTCATCGTTTAGTCGACTAAGAAATTACTGGCCTGGAACATCTCTATCTACTATTGATGGAAGCGTTTAATACAGTGGTTTCTTTTTAAATGTATATTAAAAAGTTTATAGTGCAGTAAAAGCTTTTGTTCTTTGCTCTGTTGAAACCCATTTTATTATACTTGACATAATTTTAAGTACAACTATTTTCCATTATTTTTTTTAAATGTGGATATAGTCCATGTGTAGCATTCATTCCAATATTTAGTAAAATGTGCTTAAATGTTTACTGGAAAATATTAGTTAGAAAAAGTTGTTTTAAAAAAAAAAGAAATATTCAATTCAATTTTATTTATATAGCGCCAAATTACAACAACAGTTGCCTCAAGGCGCTTTATATTGTAAGGTAGACCCTACAATAATACATACAGAGAAAAACCCAACAATCATATGATCCCCTTTGAGCAGGCACTTTGGCAACAGTGGGAAGGAAAAACTCCCTTTTAACAGGAAGAAACCTCCGGAACCAGGCTCAGGGTGGGGTGGCCATGTGCCGCGACCGTTTGGGGTGAGAGAAGGAAGACAGAATAAAAGACATGCTGTGGAAGAGAGCCAGAGATTAATAACAAATGTGATTCAATGCAGAGGTCTGTTAACCCATAATGAGTGAGAAAGGTGACTGAAAAGGAAATACTCAACTCATCATGGGAATCCCCCAGCAGCCTACGTCTATTGCAGCATAACTAAGGGAGGATTCAGGGTCACCTGGTCCAGCCCTAACTATATGGTTTAGCAAAAAAGGAAAGTCTAATAATCTTAAAAGTAGAGATAGTGTCTGTCTCCTGAATCCAAACTGGAAGCTGGTTCCACGGAAGAGGGGCCTGAAAACTGAAGGCTCTCCCTCCCATTCTACTTTTAAATACTCTAGGAACAACAAGTAGGCCTGCAGTGCGAGAGCGAAGTGCTCTAATGGGGTGATATGGTACTACTATTAAGATAAGATGGGGCCTGATTAAATAAGACCTTGTATGTGAGGAGCAGGATTTTGAATTCAATTCTGGACTTAACAGGAAGCCAATGAAGGGAAGTCAATACAGGAGAAATATGCTCTCTGTTTCTAGTCCCTGTCAGTACTCTTGCTTCAGCATTTTGAATTAACTGAATGCTTTTCAGGGAGGTTTTACGACATCCTAATAATAATGAATTACAGTAGCCCAGCCTAGAAGTAATAAATACATGAACTAGTTTTTCAGCATCACTCTGAGACAGGATATTTCTAATTAATATAGTTTTTAATTGGCCTTTATAGCATTATTACCACTTTAGCCTTCAGATGAATCTATTGACCTTGAAGGAGAGGTCAGAGGTCAAGTATAAAAACTATAGTTTAAATATTTTTTGGTACCTACTATTTGTTGACAATGCACACCACACTTGTAATAATCATAGTTTCTAAGTAATAAGGCTTTTTTCAACTTTCAACCAGTTGACCATGAAGACACTGGTGGACGTTTTGATGGATTGCTAACATGACCCCACTCTACAGTTCGTTCAAAATTCACTAGAATTATTCTAAAACAATCCTGTCTACAGTCAGAATGACAAGCACGCACACAAATTCTACCAAAGGCAATGATGCTACACAGAAATTAGGATTCCAAAATATCAAGAGCTAACTCTAGCTGCAATAAAAAAAGAAAAAATCTCAAATATGAAAAAATGAGGACTAAAAACAACAACATTCACAGACCATGACATCACACAAGTTGCAGTTTCATGATAAATAAAATTAATTAATTAAATCTGCATGTCTCAATAATTTGTGACTATAAACTAGACCAGCAAGTTTCATAGCTGATTAAAGGATGTCTGAAGAGGAAAAGTTTTTCTGTATTCCTTTAAAAGTGTTTCACATGAATCAGATTCAGTGTGTCATTTCATGATTTCCCTGGTAAAATAAATAAATAATGTGGCTGAACTGTTTCACACATCTTATAAACCTTCTGTAGAGCAGAGGCATACAGTCCTAACAGCACCATCTGACTGCCCAGCTTTCAGTGAGTAACCCTCTGATAGTACTAGCTGACCAGTCAACAGTAACAGCTGACTCCAACTGGCTGGCTAACAGGCACAGGCTGAGCGGCTAGCAAGGGTGACTGCAGCTCCTAGGATCTGAGAAAGGGGAAGACTGTGGGATTACAATTAAAAGCCTTTGTGCTATTTTTTTTTGTATAAAGAAAAAAAGCCTTTGTGCCTGAAGGTGGTCCTAAAGCCTGCCTGTAATTTTATCCAACTTCAAATAAAATAATACTAGTTAACATATTTGGGGATTAATTGTGTCAGAAGCTAACATTAGCGCTCCAGATAATTGTTAATCCAAGTTTATTCCCATCATAGCTACAAATGCTAAACTCTAAAGCTGAGCATGCCAAATGCAAAATAAATTCAATTATAGCCAGCTAAAGCTACAGATGGCAGTATTAAATGATACATATTGATATTTAGTCATATTTTGTTCAGTCAAACATAACGGTTGATACTAACACGAATCTCTC